CTAGATCATCACGGGGCCCAAGAACGAAATATCCCGAAGGACCGTTCCTCTTGCTGTTCCGATGTTTTACACCGGCCTGGGGTGATTGTGTAGCACTAACGGGCTGACTTTTCGGGTTTGAGATGTGTGAATTGGATTCATCTTGTACTGGAGTAGGACTTTCAGGCGGCGTAGATGTCGACCTTGGAGAGAAACTCCAAGAGGAGCCATATCCAAGAGTGAGGTATTTCATGACCGTCTCTGTTGGAAACCCTATATATTCGCCGTTTTGCTCGGTGCGAAGTGGTGATGCCTCGTTTCTTGTTCCTGCTTGATTCTCCTCAAGTGGTTCTGGGAGTGGCTGTGGTGTTGCTATTATGAGCGGACGAGGTATACCTGGCTTAAAATTGTGATCCGGCGTGGACGGAGGGGCATCTTCCGAAATTTGCCTTCCACGTTGCTTTCGTGGTTTACGGCGACGCAGCGAGGTTGGGTCCCGCCCAACTCCATACGCAGAATCCCCAAACCGATAAATGCATTCCATCCAATGTGATATTTGCGCCAATGAGTGCCGAGAAAGAGCACCGACACCAGTAAATACCACACCGTCGGATGGTCGAGGGTCATTATCTGCCCCAAGCCATCGAGTTTGGTCATTTGACCCCGCAGGCCCCTCGAACTGTGGGGATGGATCACCAAACCTGGAGACAACCAAGTCCACCAACCCGTCGATCCTTGTGACGAAGTCTTCAAGTACTTCTCTTTCCCCGCTGCCCCACTCTTCCTCCCCGACGCCGATCCCCAACTCTCCTCCCGCAGAGAGTTTGATGCCATTATAGATATCGACAATTGGGTTTCCGGTCAACAGAAGTTCCCAATTCCACGCAAACTTCTCCCAGAAACGCTCAAGAAACAGACAGAATGTGGACCTTCCGACTTGATGGAGGATGTCGTCCAATTTGAAGTCATGGTGCAGGAGGAATGCCGAATGGGCGCGACGTAATTGCTGGATCAGTAGATGTGGCGGCCCCATCTCTCGCGAGGAATAATGAAATGTGGGGGGGTCGGATGCTCCAGAGGATCGCTGGGCTGTATCGGTGCGAGTTCGGGTCAGGTCGATATGCTAGCTTAACATGAGCCTTTGTGATCTGTGACTTTATCTCAACCACTTACAGCAACAATCCACCAGTTCTTCTCCAGCTCAAGCAGAACGACCCGCGCTTTGTCCGTTTCAACATATTCTAGTGTCTTTCCAGCTGAGAAGTTACTGTATATTAAGCACGATTAGATTGGTTCATTTGTGGGGGTTTGCGGGGATGCCTACCTAGCAAAGTTGACCATGCCCTGCGCCAGACCTATCTGGCGCAACCGCTCATTCTCTTCATCTTCGAGGCATTTTTTTGCTTCGCCTTCTGATGTGGAGCCATCGATGCGCCGTGCATGGCTCGATTTAGAAGTATAGAACACGATCTGGTCCGCTATTGTCTCGTCGGTAGGTCCGAGGGACGGGTTATAGATGGCAAGGTAGGAAAGTTGGGCTGGAATCACCAACTGATGATCGCTTTCAGACATCGCATCGTTGGATGGCGTTCACGGGTCGTATGTAGGTCGTACCAGACAGGCAACAACGGTAATGGCTGAAAGACTGATCCGAGGTGGGATCTGGATGGATGGATGTTGATATCACGTGCCTTATCGATAAGCTACTATGGAAGCTTCAACTTTCTCCCCTGATGGCTTCTCGACTTTTGGCAATTACCCACTAGAATCATGTGGATTATTCCAGGCCCAGGGTGCCTACATCTCTGCAAAAGACCCTTGGTCCTTCGAGGGCTTGTCTTTAGGTCATACGCTACCAAGACCTCCGATCCGCTCCGCATTCTCTTTTGCGGCTCTGATGAATTTAGTATCGCCCACTTGAAAGCTCTCCATGCTTATCAATTGAAACAGCCAGAGCGGATTTCCTCCATTGATGTCGTTTGTAGACCGGGAAAGAGGGTTGGGAGAGGACTGAAGCAAATTCGGGAAGGTTAGCTTCACTTTACGCTTCCTTGAATGACCGTGTATCCTGATTCAATTTCCCTCAGTTCCGCTCAAAGCGGCCGCCTCTGCTCTCTCCCTTCCAATCCACGAGATTGATACATTCACTGGATGGACGGTAATACCAAAACTCAGCCCAACTGATATTTTCGCTGACCGTGGTAGCCCCCAACCTCCCCGGACGGTCATATAAACTTGGTGATTGCTGTGTCATTCGGGCTTTTTGTTCCGCCGCGCATATTGAATGGTGCCAAGTATGGGGGCTTGAATGTGCACCCCTCGTTACTACCGAAGTATGTGATTGCTATATGTTCAGAATCTCCAAATAAGATAATTGACCTGATTGATTAGCTTCCGTGGTGCTGCACCGCTTCATCATACCCTTATCGCCGGCGAGACCACCACTGGCGTTACGGTTCAGACCTTGCATCCAAAACATTTTGATCACGGAGTGATATTATCACAGACACCGGCTCCCGGGTTCGACATCCCCAATCCAGATTTCTGCACCGTCCCCGAGTTGGTGGATTTCGTTGCACCGAAAGGAGCACAAATGCTCGTGGAAAGTATTGAAAAGGGACTATTCGTCCCTCCCATCGCAGATGCTGGGGCTGAAAAGTCCGGAGATTTGAAACACGCGCCAAAAATCACCCCAGAGGACCGACACATCAACTGGGCAAACTGGACCTTGGCAGATATCAACAGACGTAACCGAGTGATTGGACCTCTCTGGAGTAAGGCCCTCTGTGCAAGCAATCCTGCGGATGGACCTCTGTCATTCCAACAGAAACGAGTCATACTCACGAATATCGAAGAGGTTGACCCGCCTAAAGGTTCTGATTCGTTCTCAATTCTCCCAGGCCTGCCGTTTACAAATGCTCCTCACCCCGTCGAGCCAAGGAAATCAAGGCAGCTATATGTTTTTACTGCCGATGGCAAGGTTCTGCGCATCAACCGAATGAAAGTGGAAGGCGAACAAGATGCAGAGGGTCTGCGAGCCGCTATAAAAGCTCGCATGTTCGGTGATCGAGCATTCCAGTATGAAGGCCGGGAGTTGACTCCCTTCCGCAACTCTCTTGTATAAATATGATAAAGTTATGTGTACTATCACCTATATCTTAACCAATACGATTCCGTTTCCTCATTTCGATCAGATCCCAAAGCCGGAATCTAGAAGGATTGTCAGTTTCGATTCTACTCGCTGAACTTGAGACTCATACCAATTTGAACTGCTTGACCAGTTATAGAAGCATTCTTAGCCAATGTAACAAACATGTCCGCGCAGTCTTCTACCTCGGGCTATAGCGATTCATTAGCACACATGGTCCTTTCAAGTCGGCGAGACTATAATTGCTTACCGCTCGCTTGAGGGTTGTCGCATTTGTCCAGCCTTCGATTTGATCGGGCGAGAAGCGTTGACCCTGGGATGTTCTCAGTATTCATCGATCCTAGCATTGAGCATGTGCTACTTACCCATTCGGTGAGTAACAGGCCGGGGAGAATAGCATTGACGCGAATTTTCGCGCCTTGGCTCTTAGCAAGACACTTCATAAGATGGATAGCTAGGCGATGCAGAGTCAGTAATCAAGCAGCGTGGTTTGTTGGAATGATAGCATACATGCTGCTTTCGAGACAGCATAAGGCAAGCTGCTGCCACTTGGCATAACGCCCTGGAAAGAACCCGAAAATCAGCATTCGATGTTTCTATAGCAGTAGACAGTCCAAGGAAATTTGACAAGTTTTGGTAGCTTACTGCAATCGAGGCTGTGATGAGGAAGACACCTCCTTCCGGGTTCGCATTGAACGTGGGCAAAGCTGCCTTGAACAGGTAAAGACTGCTCTTTACATTGACCGACCAGCACTGATTCAATAGTCAGTCAAACTAAAGCTCCCACTACCGAGCATGCATTCGGTACCTTGTCCCAGTCTTCGTCGTCCATGGCATCAAGATCGCCGAAATTGGTCATTTTTGTCCATCCCTTCTCATGTATTAGCATTTCGTACCATAAGAGGGATTGATTGTATAACTCACGGCATTTGAGATAATAATATCCAAGCCACCGAGCTTCTCAATCGTGGTTTTGACGGCGTTGATACAGTCATCTTTGACTCCGGCATCCTGTTTTCAAATGCGAGATAATGTCAGCGGGTCAAATTTAGAGAAACAGCCTATTTACATTGGATTTGAGTGCCTTACGCCTTGAATAACCACTGTTTTTACCCCATATTTGCTCGCAATGTCCGAGGCAAGCTTATCTGCAGTCTCTTTGCTGGACATATAGTTGATAGCAACGTTGCTTCCCTCAGAGGCGAACTTCTCAGCCGAAAGAGCACCTAGCCCTCTGTTAAAACGAGATTAGTTTATTGATCAGAGCATATTTTCATGTTTCAATTGAAGATTCCTACCGGGAGCCACCGGTGATCAAAACATTGCGACCCGACAAGGAATAGGGCATGATGAGTAGGAGTTTATCTTTGAGATCAAGCTCGATTGCTTTGTTTCAAAGCGAAGAGACAGATAGACACAAGATTGAGATACACAAAAGGTTGGAGGAGTTGCCGAGGAATATTCGATGCGGGGTAGAGCCGATCAGGTACATTTGACATTTTGATATTTGACGATCAACAGGCGGAGCTTCGGAGAATCAGAAAGTTATATTGAGCTGGATCTTTCAGTGCAGACAGCCACTTACATAGTGACTATTTCCCCGGAATTTTCCTCGGTCGGGATGTTGCTTTTATATAACACATTGACGTCCATTATTTGGGATTTCTAGATCTGCATTCAACAGTCCAAGATCCTATCTTCTATGATCATCGATTATAGACTTCTTACGCTACAGAGTCTAGATCCCACATTGCCTGTCAACCAATTCATTTTTCACCTAGGTGCCTGATGAGAACGTCATTTCTTATGATATCTGCAACTATCAGATCACGATAATTTTAAAATAGACCAAGCCGGTGTAAATACACGGCACTTAGATCACAAGCCATCCTGCATATTGGGTTCTCTTCATCCCCCACCAGGCCCGTCGTCCGGCCTGGGCAGGCCATTGGACAAGAAAACGGTCGGCCAGAGGCAACAGCAAGACACCAGAGGTACTAAGCGAGCTCACACGGGCCCACGATTCGATGTAAATAGTGCGTAGCTTTGGTGCCAATGCGAACGAGGAGACTGTTCGCAGACCCAGACACAAGGCAGCGCATTTGGCCAAACATAGAAAGAAACGAATGAGTTTTGCGCCTGCGACAACGCAGACTGCTGTAGCGGGACCGTTTGTAAGAATCAAATCAGGGTAGAGTGAGTTGTATTCATTTGGGAGCCTTTGATCCGGGTGAAGTCCCCGAAGAACATTGAGACAAGCCCAGAAACATCGAAGCGTGGAGAATGGCGCGGTGAGATAGGATTGATGGACCCGTCGGGCACGGGGCACTGTGACAATAGTGTAGTTCTTGTTATGGGTATGGCCCTGAGAATTTTGTACATGTTGAGCCTCGAAATCCTTGGCTTTGTCTGCGCTGAAGTTATCTCCGGAGCTCACGAGGTATGTCCGATACGTGTAGATTTGAGGGTCGAAATTCATGCGCTCGAGCATGTAGAGCATCTCAGCTGTGTGCCCACCACTTCCAAGTACAACCAACAGGTGGGTAGGAGATCCTCTTGGGCGACATTTGGAGGGAATGATATTCTGGGAAATCGTGAGCGAGATGAGTAGAAACTAGGAGAGATAGACAAGTTAGATTGATTCAATGGTACGAGTAAATAATACCCACGAGAAGAATGCTAGCCCCAAGTGCAATTGCCAGGACAAAACACCAAAGGAGCAGGCCGCCGAAGGATAAAGAAGCAAGAGAGAAGGACATCTTGGACTGCTGTTGTATGGCCTCAAGAGATTGGTAAGACAGCCCGAGGATTTTAATGTAGCATTGTCATAAGAATGAAGGCGAAGAACAATAGAAAGAGAAAGAGAAACAACGCCAACTATGGCAAAAGGCAGTCGAGCGCAAGTCCGCAAGTGTAGATCTTTGGATAAATTGGAGTCGCGGTACATTTATACACGTCCCCCGCACGTGCAAGCTCCGACTTGTTTTATTTCCCTCTTTGGCATCCGGAAATTTCTCCCTTGTTTACACCAACGCTTTTACTTGTGCTTCTTTCCATGTTACTATGTCATGGCTTCTCTATTTTCTAAGCGTTTGACATGCTTTTATTGCGGACAGCGGTCCGCTCGCTCTCATCACGGGCCTGTTTGCAATTTCCGCTGTGAACATTGTGAGGCTGACAACTTCTTTGACGAGGTAGGCTCATTAAGAAATCTTTCCACTGGAATATACTCGGACTATGCTAATGACTGTTTTTCAAAAAGAAAGGAGAAATTACAGACCCACCAGCTGTGGTCACCAACGCCTACGCGCCTGGCGCATCAGACTCACCCTTCGAATCGACTGACTTCGGTGGATCACAGTTATTTTGCGCCAAATGTACTCGGAATCAGCATTTATTTACCAGCTCCCTAGCTTCCTACTTCCCCCCCTCGGACGATCCCACCGATAGCGAATACGAACGCGGGTATGAGCAGTTCCGCAGAAGCCTAGAGGACCGGTACCCCCAGGTTTGCGAGTCTTGCGAACCCATTGTGAAATCCCGTATCAGAAGAGCTGGCTACGAAGCGAAATCAGATCATCTCAGGCGCATGATGGATCAAAGCCGAGCAAACCGAGAATCACGACAGGCGAGGAACCGGAGCTGGAGAAGCTTGCTTCTTCTTGCGGGCGCACTTGCATATTGGGCTAGTATTGCTGGTCAGATAGTGTGGAACTTGATCAGTGTAGCTACCCTCTACCAACCCTCGCCAAGTTTCGATTATTTACCCGAGACCGAACGACCTCCAATGGCACCCAATTCTGTGATCTCGTGCGTCAACCAGTCTATCCGTTCACAGCGCATTCCCAGTGAATGTTCCCCTGATCTAGCACCAACTGCCGGTCTGGCATTGATTGCAGGTGCATTTTCACTCTGGTGGAATCCGAAGCTGCGCATGAAGATAGACGGAATGCCCGGTAAATTCCGCGGTCTTGCAGAGTACTATCAAGCTCAACTCATCGTCATGGTGGTACGATGTGTTTTCTGGGCAGTAGTCAAGGATCCGTCTGCCAGTGGGTTAGAACCCAAACTGATTCCTGCCTTCCATGCCTTGATGATGGTTTTCACTATTCTAGTAAGTATATTTTTCTCCTTGAACTTTCCATGCGCTAACTATGGTAGTCGGTTTTGTTCTCTCGATATGTTGTCAGCTACTCTAGTCGTCCACTCGTCAATTGGTCTGATAATAGCTGGGAAACTCAATTCGAAAGTCCTAAGGCGTCTTCATCTGTACTGCCTGAGTCACCTATGTCGACTCGTATCACAAGATCTGGCGGAACACCGAAGGCAAACATTGGTGGATTCCAGCAGCGCTTCCCAATTGATAAATTGGCCCAGGCCCAGGCTCAATCTCCGTCACCCGTCGAGCAGCCGCTTATGGTTGCCCCCAATCTGACGGATAATGATGGCATGGACTGGTCTCCATCTATTACCCATAACCTCCGACCGACCGTGACACGGCGAGATCAGCCGTCTGTGCTCGATGGTCCTCATCCATTCCAGGGGCAGATCCCAGCAGCCCCGATGCCTCCTGCGTGGAAGCTTCGCACCCAGACTTCAACAAAGCCTATCGAACAAGTGATTCAACCTAATCCCTTCCACCGCAGTCCTATCCAACCGCAAGGCCAATGGCAGCAAAAGCATGCTGATGCCGAACCAGTGTTCAAGGAACCGAAATTTTTCCCTCCTCATGATCATGATACATCTACTGGGCTGGAAACGCTGTTTGACCGTGCCTTCAATCTCCAGCCCGATGCTGCGCAAGGACCTGGCTGGTCCCAGCAACCGCGGAACAAGGGCTCGCGTGTCGATGCGACACAAAATCAGCTCTTTTATGGGTGTCTTCGACTAGGTCTGCTAGTCAGCTTCATTAGCGCATGGACTATCTCTCAGAATCACCAGGTCTTGATTCCAGGAAATTACGTGGAGATCGCTGCGCTAGGCGTGGCAAGCCTTGTTGCGGGATTCGCTTTGATCACGATGGTAAAAAGGCCTCTTGCGCAATGGAATGGCATGGAGATTCTGATTTCTATCACCGAACTTGGTGTCGCTGTTCACATGGGGGCCCATTTGCCCACAGTTTCGCTTAATCGGGACTACTTCGATCGCTACGGCAAACTGCTTCTTGTTTTCATGGCCGCACAGGAATCTATGAATGTATTGTCCTTCTACAATAAGGCTAAATCAGAAAGCCGGCAGCACTCAGAGTCTGTATCACCACAGCCACAGCCACAATCACCGCGTCAGAGTCAACTGGGTGCCCTTGACTGGTCCGCAAGTCAATCTTCATCCAAGTCTACACCTGAACCTCGAGCCAGCAGTCCGCCTGTGCACCGATCATTCGAGTCGCAGCTACCCGTTCCTCCACTTTCTTTTGGCGATACCGAGGCGGCCTCCAGTTTCTCTTCAGCATTACCTTCCGTGCCGCAGTATGGGCTTGCCGCGTCTCGAAATGTCCACTCGTTCCCACCTACCAACCAGAGCGTCTTCAATAAAAACAGAAACCCACATAGTTTCACTATGGAATCTTTGAAGCAAATCGAGCCTGTGTCTGATTATGAGCGGGACTCGGACACCGAGACTATCGCCACCACTACAACCACCGCCACAAATTTCACCAACCGCAACATTCGGTATGGGAATGACCCCGGTCTGGGTTCGAGTGCCTTTTATTCACCCCGACGGAATGGTCTTGGATCAGGCATGGGCGGTTTAAGCTTGGATGATGATCCCACTCCCCGCCGCATGACTCGCAGCCAGACCCAGCGTGGGTTACTTGGTCGCCGTCCGACCAACTACGTCCGATGATTTCTGTTTCACTTTACATTTATCCTTCCGTTCTTTTTTATTCTTCGGTACCACTGGCCATTCTATGCCCCTATCATTGCTTGCAGACTCGGACTCGCTACGGCGTTGATCGATTGAGCTAGTTGGTTGCTCTCTTTCTTTCTCTCTTTCTGTTCTTACTTTCGGTCTTCCGGTTTTGATTCAAGCGAATCTCATGGGTTCATAGCGCAGGCGAATGTTTCTTTTAGTCCGATATCGACGGGTTTAGCTGCCCTTCAAGGTGTTGGGACCGCTGTACATATCTTTCGAGAGGGTTGAACTACCCCGGTACTTTGATGATGTCTATGAAATTACGATGACAGATGTGAATACTCTTTGAAAAAATATTGATTTTGAATTTGATCCCTTACGTTCGTTCATTGAAGTTCCACATAGACTTAAACTAATATCCCTACTCATTCACCCTCTCAACATGCACCTTGGATGGCTTGTCCATTCCAGCGCCAATAGAAGCTCGCTCTGCATCGACATTCTTATGCTCCAGCAGCTGCGTGACGCCAAAGAGCTCATCCATCTTCTCAAGGGACAAACCTACAGGCACACCATAGTCAGCAAAAGACACCATTATATACTATCAAAGGACTCGACTCACCCTTCGTCTCCGGAATAAAGAACCACACAAAGACACACATCGAGAAGCAGAAGCACGAGAAGATAAGATACGTTCTGTACGGCCCAAAGTCAGCAAACTTACAATCAAAAGCACAAGCCAAACTCACCCATAACCATTGGCACCAACAGTGGCCAGCATATTCGGCACAGCCCTGGCAACAACAAAGTTGAACAACCACTGCGTAGCAGCCCCAAAAGAAACATTCAGTGAGCGCAGCCTGGCAGTCGGGATCTCGGAGACGTAAATCCAGCAGACGGGCCCCCATCCGAATTGGAAAAATGCTGCGAACAGGAAAATGCACACCAGCGCAAAATACCCGGCCGGGATGACAGGTACGCCCTCAACTGGCGGCGCAATGCGCACGTACAGTCCAATGTACATCATTGCCAAACCCTGCGCGATCGAGGTCCACAGGAGGGAGCGGCGTCGGCCTAGCGAGTCTGCCACGAATATTAGGAACACGCCGCAGCTGATCATCTTTACGATGCCGTAGACGCCGGTTGCGAAGAGGTTGGTTGCGTTACCGGTTACGCCGAGCTGTAGAGGTTAGCATCTGATTGTATTCTCGGGTTTAGGGCTTAAAGATAAAAGTACGGGCTCACGTTTTGAACTGCGACTTGTTAGCTCAAGAATATCTCAACAGGTTATTGGGATAGTAGCAACATACAAATTTGGGGAGCATAGTAGTTAATGGCATTAGTTCCAGTCATCTGCTGGCAAATCATCAAGACGATAGAGATAATCGCGCGCTTGCGATTACCCGGAATGAGCCACATCTCTTTCATCAAGTCCCAGAAGCCGGACCCAGCGACAAGTGCGCGCTCCTGTTCTAGCTGGGTGGCAATGGCCGCGAACTCCTCTTCCACGTACGGGTGGTTGGAGGGAAGATTGCGCACTTGGGAGAGAGTCGCACGGGCTTCTTCCCACCGATCTTGTTTGGCCAACCAGCGGGGGGACTCGTTGCACAACAACATACCGAAGAATAGAAGTATTGCGGGGAGACCTTGCATTGCCAGTGGAACGAGGTACATTGCGGGGCCCTCGATATTGAGCAGCGAGCCGTAATTGATCCAGAATGCAAGCATGATGCCCATTGTAATGAAGAGCTGGTATAGACCTGTTAGACCACCGCGGATTGCGCGCGGTGCATTCTCGGAGACATAGAGTGGGTTGATCATGGATGCGGCACCGACTCCGAAGCCAGTGATTAGTCTAGAGGTGTGGTTATTAACTTGAGATAATGGGTGGAGGACTGGGGGCGGAAATATTTGTCTTACCGTCCGATGTACATGACTTCGATGTGGCCGCTGGCTGCTGTTTGCATGACAATTCCGAGTATAGCCACCACCGCTGCGCCGATTAGGGCCATTCGTCTACCCCATTTCTCGGCTACCGGGGAGGCAACCAGAGCCCCAAAGAAACAACCTGCTTGGAGCGTGGATACTATATTGGCCGATAGATTTGCTGCCGCAACTTTGGAGATGTTCTCGAGGCCGTATGTCCTGCAGCAAGACACTGGTCAACATAGCTAGACACTAGCAGTCTATTGAGCAGAGATAACACACTTCTTGAATCCTGGCATAGTTAGAACTCCGCCAATAATACCGGAGTCCATGCCAAAAAGCATTCCGCCGAAACAGGCCTGGGAAGCATTAGCTCTATAATCCTAGAATTATTGTCATTGCGATCGCTAAGGAGAGACTGACCGAACATGCAAGCATAAAGACCCTCCACCCATAGATCTCTTTAGGGTCTTCTTTCATCGCCTCATTGTGAACAATCTTTTTTAGAAACCATGACATCTTGGATAGAAGCAAAAGGAGGCAAGTCAAGATGATCGCAGTGAATCCGAGGGGAGTAGCTAGCTTAAAAGTAATTCTCTGAGACTACCTCATGACAAAGCTAAACTTTAGATGCCGTCGACTTTTGATATGCATATAAAAGAAGAGAAGAGACTATGACCACAAGCCTATGGGAGGTGTAATTCTAAGCCCAGTTGTCTTGGCCGGCCACCGAGCGGCCTATGGAACAAAAGCAGCAACCCGAAATAAGGCGAGCAGACATGAATGAAAACTTCCACGAATCCGAAGCCTGGCACGGGCTGCAGAAAGCTACTACAGCTCACATGGCTAGGGTGTTTGGGGGTTGATCCGAACGTGATTCACGTGCTTTCAGATAGGAGTGCAGTTCCAGGGTAGTACTTTGTATGTGCTGATTTATCGGCGATATTCCGAGCCTGAAAAATTACAGGAGGATAGATAGCTTTAGCCGAGAAAGAGAGAGGAGAAACTTCGAAGGCTTGAAGTTGTCGGCTGTTGATCTTACCCCGGACTGCGGGGAAACTCAAAATTTAAGGCTAATCCCAATGCGGCAAAACAATCCAGAATAGGATGAGACCTTGAAACCAGAAACCAGACTGATTCATTGCACGATATCAGATTGTAATGTCTGCTAGGAATCAACTTCCTTCTGCACTTTCCATCCTCTTCCGTAACCACTCAGGAATAACTGGCTTCTTCTCCCAAGCTGCCTTCCAATCACGTTGACGGTCTGGCACAGCATAAACAGCTGAGACGAACCAGCAATCCTGGCCAGCTGCCAAGCCCACTGCAAGTGACGGCAAAAGCGTACGTCCGTGAATGATATTAGAGTTGGGATCAGCCAAGACGATCCGACCAACGCGCCCAATAGCCGAATGGAGCTCGGCGATGCCAACAGCCCCAGCCGACGAAACCACAAGTCCACTCCGGCTGTCATGAATCGTACCCTCTGAGTCATTTTCAGTCATAGGTCCCAAGGTACGACCATTATCGCTGCGACATCCGTAAATAGCAAAGGCACCTTCGGAGGTCTGCAGAGCGCGACCGGTGCGCACATGATGAGCGCGCAGATGCCAATTCTCGGTTTCCGCCGTTGGTGGAATTAGTATAGTCTCTATATCAACATCTGGCCACGGTTTCCAACCAGAAACAAGAATTGGCTGACCATTGGGCTCGGGTTCCTCGAAACGCGCATCAAGCGCTAGCCGTCTAGTCTGCCAAATATCGCCGCCGTCGTCTGATAAGGCAAGCATGCTGTCTGGGGCGTGCTGTTCTAGCTGGTAGCCACCCGTTGGAACCGAGTATCCAAAGGCAGAACTGTACGCAAACTTGCCATACTTGGCCTGTGTCGCTTTGAGGGGGTAGTGGCATGCTTGACCAGATGATAACAGGAACGAGTGTCCCCCACGACGGATGGCAATATGTTTGGGGTATTTTAGGGCGACCACTTCAGGCAAAGAGGAATTTGGGTAGGGCTCCTCTTGCGCGGACCAGAAGGGGTGTGTCTCAGGTAGTGCCAGTGGAGTGAACGAGAGACAGCACCAGTACGGTGACCCGGGAGAATTGTAATTCTCCGTTAGGTACATGTTAGCATAAGAGTAGCCGAGACTCAAAGTGCCATCATTGTGAAAAATGTCATCCTGCGTAGACCACCACCGGAAGTGGCGAAGTATGATTCCCCTTACCACGCCCCATGTCAATGGTTCCGGTAGTTCGACATCCGCGAAGCCTAATGCACCCCAAAATCCAACCATGGCAAATCGATAGGTCATAGAGCGTCCGAACGGGATGGCACTGCCTATTTGCTTGTACTTCTAGTCAGGACAAAGTCGCATCTCAGAAGAAGGGATCAGAAAGACCTGCCCAAGACGTACCGTTAGGATCGAAGTAGTGCACAAAATCTGTAGCATACTCCCGTGCCCGCTGACGATAGCGTTCAGCACGCTCAGGATCGAAGTCACCCGCCAGCTTGGAATAAAGAAGCTGCAAGAACTGAATGGCGAATGAGCCCGAGTAGTAGTCCATCTGATGATGACTCTTAGGTCCATCGTTGCTCCATCCCCCTCCAACATGGAAGGTATCCAAATGGTCCATATCAGCCTCAATGCGAGACGAAGAGTATTCGGCGCCATTTTTTCTGAGGCCCAAGTTTGCAAAGACGCGGAACCATAGCCTACAGCCGTCCCAACCGTAATTAGCCGACTTATTCAGTCCACACCAAGGAAAGACCCTACTGGGAAAATCGAGACATAACATACCAGTTCGTATTTGGCATCTCGCGCGCATTAATACTCGCCAACCATCTACCAACATTCCCCCTCTGCTTCGCCGTCAATGGATCCCAAAAGACATGAGGCGCAACAGCAAGCGCAAACCCAATCGGACACATCTCCACCATGCGCTGATCCATATCCTCGATATGGCCCCAGAACTCCGGGTGTTCGGGATCAGTCCCGTTGATGATTCCCTGGCGCCAGCGCTCGGCCTCGCCGTATTCATATCCGCCGCCCAACAGCGAGGCCAGGCCCCATAGCGGACGTGCGTATCCCTCGATCTGGGCGCCGCCTTCGTCGAATCGTGTCGTCGATGTGCCTACTTTGACGCGTGTACCTCCTGGTGTAAAGAGGGGTACTAGCGGGTTGAGAATGGCGCGACATGCTTCTTGTAGGTCGGATCTAGTGCGGAAGGGGGATTTGCTGAAGGCCTGTGAGGGGGTTCGGCCGTTAGCGTGGATAGACATCGTAAGTCTGTAGGCCTGGAGGCTGTGGGGAATTTGTGTTGTTATGGTAGCTATTATTCGTTTGATATGTTATTATAGGTTTTATAGAGATTGACATCGGGTTAATCGCCGATTATTAGCTGCTTAATAGATACTTCATATCGGGGTTCGGGTGAATATGCCGACATATAGTAACACCCTGGACCTGAGGCCATCTTGGTACAAATCGGAATTCGCTGAGAATGCCGATCCAGCCAGTTGGATCTGTGCGTAGTTTTGAAGGATCCTGGGGTTAGCGTGGGGTTTGGATTCAGCCGGTCGACGTAATGTGTGGAGATCATCAGTAATAAGAGGCCAGTTTGTTCGAAATAGGCTGATGAGAATCTGATAAGCGGGGGAACTATCGTCCACCAATAAGGAAACAGGCTAAGCAACCAATAGTGTGGCTCTTGTCATATAGGAGGATATCACATGGTATTATTGTTTGTACATAGGGCTCAACAGCACTCAATATCTATACACGTCTCAAATTGCATGACAACAATGCAATTGGACATCTAACCACCCAATAGGCCCCCCAAGAATCGGCCCAGCTCTTTCACAAGAGCATCATCGACTCCCTCGGTCTCACCAAGACCCTGTTTTAGGATCTCGGTCCACCGGGCCAGGGTAATCTCGTGCAGTTTCTGTCCGTTCAATGCGGAATGGACACGGCTGGCTTGATCGGATGCGATGGAGTCGTCAGATGAGACAGATATGTGGCTTTCGACAATAGCGCCATGCTGCAGACGGAGGAATGCACGAGTACTAAAGGGAAGTGAGGAGGGAAGTGGCGGGCGTTCACGAGGATCTTCCTCGATCGGGTATGTTGAGAAAGTGAACCGCGGTGTTTGTGTGTACTTCCACTCCAACGACCGCAACTCGGCAATTCCTTTCCCAATGGTAGGCACTTGCTCCCCTTGTACATCTCCCACTGTACCAGCAACCCAAGAGTCCCCAGCGAAGACTTCAGGTTCATTGGCATGAGCACGCCGTGCCCTGAGAACAGCATCCGGATGTACCTCGTAGAGCCGAGCAAACTGCTCGATCACACCCTGAACCACGCCCTGCATCGAAAAGAACGAGTCGGCCAACGCAGACGAGACATTCCCGACTGGAGAACGAACGCTTTCAACACCCTTAGCCTGGATATACGGGCGGGCGGATGATCGCAGGTACCGGCCAAGATCATGAATGTTCGGGGAATCGAGCAAGCAAGTGCCATGATGGAGGGCTCGGTGTCGAGTAAGCTTAAACGCAGATCCAGAGATCTTGCGTGTCAGAGGCTCGTTGGGATCATTTTCCAATCCCTCTGCTCGGGCCATGACAATATCATGCCGTTCATTGACACTAGTGTTGGTAGCCCCGACCTGATGAAGTGCGCGCACCACCATCTCGGCATGCTTGTCGCGCGTAAACGAGGTCCGCGGGCATATAACGCTGTAATTCAGGTTGCCTTCATCGTGAAATACAGCCCCGCCACCTGATCGCCGACGCACAAATACTGCAGCTTCGTCTTCTCCGGTCGTGCCGTTCCGGTCATTATGAAGTGCTCGGAGATCTGTCTCAAGCCATGGGTTCTGGTTGCGACCAATGACTACACATGGTCGATTGGCATATAGAAATAAAACCGTGGACTCTGTCGGGGCGTTTTCTAGTAGGAAGTGCTCGATCGAAAGGTTCACGTAGGGATCTGTTGATAGCGATTGGTAGATCTGGTGTAAAGAGGAAGGGCGGCTGGCGAGCTCGGCGAATTGGTGAGCGGGATATGACGAATTATGGCGGATCCAGCCATATTTTAGCGGATTAGTCCAAGGTGCCGAAGACGAGGAACATCCTCGGAGGGCGAGCATTGGGGCAAAGTGGAAGAGGTTATGAGCGCATCACGAAAGTTATGGGCCGATAGTCGGTTGCGCTAGTCCCAGATAGGAATCTCAGCGATGAGTCGAATTCAATTTCCTTTTTTTCTACTTGCGGTCAGCCATCACCACTGTTCTTCTTTCTTATTCTGCAGTTTTTATTGATCTCAAGGTCTTTGAACGTGTAAATTGTCTTCAATCCCTTGCGACTATCTTTGAACGCCCATCATGTCGACGTGGGGTCAATATTTCCGTGTCACCACGTAGGTTACCCACCCCTCACAAAACACATTGTTACTGACACCCACAATTTAGTTATGGCGAGTCGCACTGTCGCTCTGTCGGCTGCATCGTCGATGGATGTCCTCCGGGATTGGAACTCACCGAGGCCGACATTCAGCCCCAAATGACCCGGCGCCGTCCTGGCCAAAGCGCTCTCACTACCCCGCGGGATGAGAAGGACCGAGTCGAGATCCAGTCAGGCACAGAGTTCGGTATCACTCTTGGTACACCAATTGCCATGGTCGTCCGCAATGAGGACCAGCGCCCCAAGGACTACGGCGGCAGCACAATGGACCTGTACCCTCGCCCTAGCCATGCCGACTTCACCTACCTTGAGAAGTACGGCGTCAAGGCCAGCAGCGGTGGTGGTCGCAGCAGTGCCCGTGAGACCATTGGTACGTCATGTGTAACTATCAACGCCAGAAGCGATTACTCTTGCTAATCCAATTCCCACAGGCCGTGTCGCTGCCGGCGCCATCGCCGAGAAATTCCTCAGCCTGGCCCATAACATCGAGATCGTCGCCTTCGTATCCTCCGTCGGCAACGAGCACCTCTTCCCCCCAACCCCCGAGCACCCCTCCCCCTCCACGAACCCAGAGTTCCTTAAGCTGATTGAGACGATTGACCGCAAAACCGTCGACACCTTCTCGCCCATCCGATGCCCGGAAACCGAGGCTGCTGCGCGCATGACCAAAGTCATCGAGAAGTTCCGCGACAACCACGACAGCATCGGTGGAACCGTAACATGCGTGATCCGCAACGTGCCTGTGGGACTAGGTGAGCCCTGCTTCGATAAGCTTGAAGCCAAGCTCGGCCACGCGATGCTCAGCATCCCCGCAACCAAGGGCTTCGAGATCGGCTCCGGCTTCGGTGGCTGCGAGGTCCCCGGCTCAATCCACAACGACCCCTTCGTCGTCAACACGTCTGAAACCGGCAGCCCTCGCCTCACCACCAAGACTAACAACTCTGGCGGTATCCAGGGTGGTATCTCCAACGGCGCGTCCATCTACTTCCGCGTCGCGTTCAAGCCCGCTGCTACTATCGGCCAGGCGCAGACCACTACTTCTTACAGCGGTGAAGAGGGTGTCCTGGAGGCGAAGGGTCGTCATGATCCTTGTGTTACCCCCCGTGCTGTCCCTATTGTCGAGGCTATGTCGTCGCTGGTTATCATGGACGCACTCATGGCTCAGTATGCCCGCGAGGGCGCCAAGAACTTGCTTCCCCAGAAGGCTCAGACTATTCGTACTAGTCCTACTACCGCGCCCAATGGTGCTCCTTCGTTGTAGACGGGAGGAAACCTGACAATTTATTAAAATGTTATACGCAAGCGTCATTAAGAAGGGTCACGTCTATGTCTATATACGTATTTGATGTATCATGGAGCTACAAAAGTGTTATATAGATGCCATATTCATACATTTACCAATTTCGGGAAAATCTACAAAATTGTCTAAACTATAGTTATTACTCTTAAAGCCTCAAGAAGCCTCAAAGCAAGACATCAATTTTGAATTTGCCACCTAATCTAACAAGCGCTCACTCGGAACCGAAGAATCACGAAAAAAAGGGAACACATGGATTCATCAGAAAAATCATTCTTATCTCAGAACGGCATCAAAACATCGCTGTGGATATCGAAACGACAGAAAACAGCAGCCACCCACGGAAAGCAGTGTGACAAAAGTAAAGACTCCAAGCGAGAAAACCACAAACGCACGCTAAAGTTGTGTACAAACGACACAATGCAATGTAACACAGCACACCTCTAGGTGTCTCTCATAGATGCAGACACCAAACCAAGCTCACCTAACCAAAAAAAGGACACAAAACAACAAGTGAGAAGATAAAACCAAAAAAAGAGAACAAGAAAATCAGGAGAAGAGGAAAGATGCCAGATCTCAGATCTAGGTACTAACTCTCCGGTTCCCTGTGCTCCAACTAACAGAGCGCTCAGACATACTATCAACATCGCCAGCAGTAGCATTAACGACACGAAGTTTCTCTCGAGGAACCGTGAAAGTTATCTGGACTCGTCGGCCCTCAGCGGCACCCTCTAGGTCCCAATCATGTACATCTTCCTCATCATCGCCGAAGCCAGCTTCGTTGCCCAGATATCCTGGCGCGCCGATGAAAAGATCATCGCGTGTAGACCGAGCAGTGTTAAACACATCGTCTGAGACTCGTTTACCCGCATTCCAGTCTTTGGCGCCCTGCTTACGGCGGAATAACTCTGCTGAAGCGCTGACTGCTCGGCGCGGGGAGCTAGGGCCCGAGCATGTGGATTGTTGGTCAGACCCGAGTAGCGTGCTGCGGCGGTCAATGCCGGAGGCCCGGTGCGCTGTGCTAGTGGTACTAGCACCGGAGTCTAGCTGGCTGTCGGGGCTGCGGCGGGTCATTGTCAGGGCTCGGCGCATGGTGTTAATTACCCAGTCGGCAGGTTTAGGTTTTGATTCTCGGGGCAGTTTTGAAGGGGATGAGGGTGGTGAGGGTGATGAGGGTGTGGTGGGGTCGAAGGCATCAAAGAGGAGGGACTCGTTCTCCGACTGGCGATGGGACATGTTTGTCCTGGCTGTAGAGTAGGAATCCGCCGAAACAGAGTTTTCCGAGGGGGCTACGCCGTCTGGATCGCTGTGTACTGAGCCTGCGGCGAGGTATTCCAGTGACTGGTGTCCACTGCCCCAGCTCAGAGGTCGATCGACAAGGATAGCTCGTGCTTGATTGACCTTGCCTACAGGTTGGGTGGATGCAAAGGAGAATGTCGAGGTTTCTGACAGATTGGTGGCTGTTTGTTCGCTTTTTGTCGGGGACACGGGATCCACAGATCCAATATCCTTTCGCCGGCTGTAGAAAGGACCTAGGCCAACGCCGAAGATGGTGCTCCGAGGAGTTGCGTAGGGGGTGTCTGAGAAGGGATCTTCGGGCTCCGTCGTCTTGACCGTGGGTCTTGTTTCAGCTGGAGTGCTTGCCATGAGATGTTCTCGTAGGATCTCTTCATCTTCCTCGCGTTCATCAATAGGGTGGATATCACCAGTAGCATCACTCCACCGGTATTCGCTGTTTCGATATGAGAATGGCCTATTGCTCACTGGAGGTATCATGGGGGATCGGTTATTTTTGGCTAGACTGGGAGGGTCCACCAACAGCCCAGTCCTCTCCGCCATGCCTTCGCCCTGGACTTTCCAGTTGGGTTGTGTCGTCTGGCAGCGGTTTGCCGACCAAGGATACACGAGGGCATCCCTTGTTTGGCTCATTCCTGAGCCCCGAATACTGCTTGCTTGTGTTGGACAATCTCGACCCCAAAAGTGAGATCGTTCGGCCCCCAAAGCAAGTTCCCGTAGCTGCGAGTCTCGCTGGCTCTTTCCACGGCGCTTTCGGTGATAGTTCCATCCACATAAAACAATGGCTATAGCAACAGGGCATCCAATGCCCAGTCCAACCCCCAAGCCGGCCTTTTGGGACGATGAAAGCTTACCAGAATGGGGGAAAGCATTCGAGGAACTGGCTGCAGGGTTGCTGTAAGAAGTAACCCAACTGCTCGAAGTCACATTGTAGAGATAGATCTGCGGGTTGGACTGTGTAGTCGGTAATGCCCGTTTCGAAGACGATTTCGGGATAGTGTAGCCCCCAGAAATCATCATCACACCCCCAGGGAGCATTGCCGCTCCATGTCCGAAGATGCCAGTACCCTCGGTGATTCCTAAGCCTTCGGAAGAGGGTGCTGTCCAAATCCATTCAGTGGTTCCACCAAACCCTTCCGCAAGATCCAGAACTGCAAACTGCGGCTCAGCAGGGACAGTAATATCGCCCACCCAACCTCCAAACACAAACACTTTATTTCCATCTTCTGAGAGAACTGCTGTGTGACCGGAACGAGGCTCGATAGAAACCGTATCCCGAACAGTCAGCTCAGTCTTTGGCGTCAAATTCGAGACCGCAGAAACAAAGCTCCAGCTTTGCTGCGGCAGCGAGAAAATGGCGAGTTGCGACATGTTGAGGAACGCCTGCCTAGTATGACCACCAATAAACAAGAAATCCTGTTGTTTCCCCGTAGAACCGGCAGCATATGTAGGCTGAAGCGGCACGACGGCCATTCCGGCTTCAGCGATGGGCGGTGCGCGCTTGCCAGTAGTGGCAGCGGTGAACTTGGTGTTGTAGTAGGGACTCGGCCCTAACACGACCGTCGAGTGCGAATAGTTGGCTGCGGAGACCCATGTTTCGTCCGTGCTGTTGGCGAATGGACACATCCCACCAAAAGCGTACATGGAGCTCTCGTCCTCGTTCCGGGATGCCGAATACGTAAACCCCGCCGCCAGATAGTTCGGAGCGGTTTTTGCGTCGCTGGTGATAACTGGTAGTTTTTGCCAAGTCCCATTGCCGACTGGGCTATTGCTGTTTGGGTGGAACTCCCATAGTATCGGCTTATCGGATGCGCTGTGGCAGTTGCCCGAGTAGACTGTGATGAACCCTTGGTCATTGATGGTGGAAATGAAACTCGAGTTCTGGTCAGAACTGTAGAACGGCGTGCTCTTCAGCAAAGTTTGATAGGATAAATTCTCGGCGTCGATACTGCTGGACAGGTTGAGGGAGACGAACTCGGTTCCGCCGGTGGAGCTAGGTCGGAGGATGTACGCGAGGGAGTCATTGTGTTGTGGGGAAAGGAAGATAGAGGACGGAGTGTATGGGATTGCAGTAGAGGGACCACCGAGTGCAAGAAGCGCAAGCAGTCCCTTTGCCTTCCGATGCTTCATGCTGCTTGCGATCCGAGACAATCAGAAGCAGGGATACATTCCAAGATCGGCGAGCATGACATGCCACGCGAAGAAGAGTGTCTATTTTTGGACAGTGCAATGCAGATATTAAATTTGACAGGTGTCAACGTGGTCAACGTGAACGGTAATGAAAAGGTAGAAAGGTAAGGAGATATTGGAGGGGTAACATTGTCTTCAGTAAACAAGTTTATCATCAGACCTGGGTCTCGCCTGTTCTCTATATTAGACCAATCATCAATCACCCAAGAGTACCAAGAGTCACATTCATTTACTCGGCTTTGTTTGCTTGCACTAAACAAGGAAAGAGGGAACCTAAAGTGTTGCCGCGAGTCAGATCGACGGATTGACTTCGTTGCTGGGCAACGGCGAGGTGATTGCGTGTTTCCTCATGTTTTCAGGTAAACTCAAGAGCATCTCCTACATATGCAGCTATGCACACCAGGCAGTAGCATTAAATGTAATCTAATTAACTTGGCTTGATTTCTCTCAATATTAGAATCCTTCGACGTTATTCAAATCTCCAAGTGGCCTTTAGTAAAGCCGGTATATGTTTCAGACTACATCAATTCAATCGATCTATTACCAGATACGGGGTTTCGCACCTTTTACCTTTTACATTTTAAGGTCGTTCATCACGGAACATCCCGAGGCTATGTACGATCTACACATGTATGCTTAAGTTGTATGTAGACATGCATATTGCCAAGATTAGGAGCGGAGCGCGCTAAATCCTTGCCTATTCCCATTCTAGAAAAGGATGGGCAACAGGAAGAGAGCTAGAAGATTCTTGGAAGAAATAGCTTGAGACGTTCTAGATATGATATATTTCTTGGGCATGGAGACTAAACATGAATTAAATGTGAAAACTCGCTCAAAAGTTAAGTAAGAAGCCCCAATTTCACCATTGAAGCGGTTATAAACGAATGTATAAGTGGAATAGACATGTCTTCCTCGTAATCCTTAACGTTTCAAGTTGATTTCATTTCTTTTTACCGCATAGCTAAAGGGTAGCTGAGACTAGCAACTTGCAAGCCGCAGCGAATTCCTGCGATGATAAAATCACCTTATTCCTCAGGCTGGTCAAGATGATGGACAGCATGACCTCCTTTCCGGCCTGCTTCTTTGGCTCTCTCGCTTCCTGGCTCGAATTTTCCACGCGAAGCATGACCGCCTTTCGAGGCAATGTTCCTCTTCAGAGTCGTCAGTTTGCTGTATATGGAATAAGACACTGCTTTTACTAACCTGCTTCTCCTTATCCATATGGGCAAATCCGCCGTGGTGGCTAGACTGTCCACCCTTTCGAGCAATCTGCTCGACCTCTTCGTGAGGACGGTTGTGGAAATTACCGGGGTTGGGGTTGTCGACCATTGTGAATATGTACAATATGTACAGAGTAGTATTATGATTGTAAATAGTTTGGAATGTTGAAATGCGTGATCCAATGCCAAATTAGCTACGTATTTATACACAACTCCATATATGTAACGCCACGGGGTGGCTGTTGACAGATGCGATGGAGTCACTTTGACGTCTATTCAGCCTCGACTTTTCTATATTTGCCTCCACTGAGAACTTGCCATGGCCTCACAACGATCCATCCAGGGGAGTTTTAAGGAATATTATCAACATCATCAGAGGAGAATGTCAATGCCAATTTCTATTACATCGTGTTATGGGCCCAAGAGCAAGCCATAGCTTCGTGTTGAAGAAAACCGCATCACTATCTTGTAGATATGTTTAGTTCTCGAAGAGTTCGAAGATCGAAGTTCTATAATAAACAATCCCATATATCCTTAGACAACAAGATAAGCACATATGATTACATATTCCATATAATTAGGACCTGAGTCAAAAGCTCAATATGTCCAAACCCATGGTAGATGAACACATGGCATATGACCTCAAACATAGATAGTGGCAACCTTGATGAACTTCGGGGGACATCGTGTGATTGCCTAGACTCAAAGCCTAATGTTGTCTACGTCGATATTCGTCACGTCGCCGTAATTGTGTCTTTTGACCCAATTCGTGGATCCCCGCCTCAATCCAAACTAATACACCAACCTTAACATATAACTTATACGATAATGAAAACCAATTAACAGCATTTCATATACAATGTCCGGGAAAGAGGTCCATTGAACGTATACAGCCGGCAAGGCTCATACTAGCGAATTTATTTCGTAGAGGGATTAGGCATCCCCGAAGTATCAGGCCACTTACGGAAGAGGTCCGCCAGATGATCCATCGGCGCCGTTAGAAGCCCCACAACTGTCTCGTACGGAGGCCTGTCTGGTGCGCTAGGATGAGAACGCGAAGGGACGAACATCTTCGTTCGTCCAAAGCTCTGAGAAAGGCCCTCACTCTCCTCTTGAGACAATGCGTCCTCCAGTTTAGGCAAATCTTCAGTCTCCTCCTCTTTGATATGTTCAGCAAGGTCCTCCATCAGCTCCCTGACAGCAGGAACAAACTGCGTATTTGAAGGTGTCATGTTTTGGAACGCCTTCAATTGCGTTTTAACCTTGGCCCATCACGTCACATCAGCACTCTGATAGGTAGGTGGCAGAGGAGCTTAACTTACTTTCTGATGCTGGTCACGGTCCTTATTGGCCATTTCCATGCCACCGGGGAGAAGTTTCTCGAAGAGAGGGTAAACAACAAGCTCTTCTCCAATGGAGTGTCGAGCTAGTTCCCAGGTGAACAGATTCTGGAAACGAGTTTGTTCATCCTCGTCCTTGGAGGTGATTATCTTGCCATAGTACGATTCAATATCCCGGTGATCTTTTTTGATCGTGTCGATGATACGGGGTGTCATGGTAGTAGGAGTTGCAATCCCACGTCTCTGGGCAAGACGTGATAGGAGTTGACTGAAAGTAGGGGTTCTTGGTGCACAAAGAGCAAAAGTCATTGTGGCCTTGGAAGGGGAGATTCACGACAGAAATCTCAAGTTCTCGACAAGCTGAATCGTGGACTCCTTATACCAGATGTAAATTTAAGCACAGGCAAATACAGTGCAAGTCTTCATTTGTCTATCTGCCCGCTAGATCATACTGACGTGAAGTAAATGCATGTAGTATAGTAATGGAAGATATGGTATTTGCTGCGATCCTATTCAAGCCTAGACAAACCCGAAAGTGGTAAATTGATCTTACGTCTAATGGGTGTCATGAGTGTCATGTCACATTTATATAATCCTAAAAGCTCACCTGTGTACCTAGGCGCATGATCTTGGATATTTATGATATCACATGTGATTCGGGCAGTTTCTTTGCGGGAAAACTATCCGTCATCTTTGAATCATCAATGGGCTCTTGTACGCAGCTGCAAATAAGCGCCTCGCAGTTAGTGCTTTAGACTGAAAGGAAAGTTTTCCGTCATCCGCACCGTGGTCATGTACCCAATCAGGACCATGTTTCACAGTGTACGGTGCTCTGATCCTTTTACAAACCACACTACAGTTAACTGTTGGCATGGTAGTTTATGTCTAGTTCGTCTATATTCTGCCTGTCGGAACAAGTTAGCGTTCAGCTTCTAGCAATAGGTACTCACGAGTTGACATATTCCTAGCAGCCCTAAGCACCCTCTTCAACCAGCGATATCCAAATTGGGCAAGTCGCAGCTGCGGCCTAAAATCCGGTGCATACAGCTATATATGTAGTGTCTTCATGTGAAAAAGAAGCAAAGTCTCGGACCGCAACACCCCAACACGGTTCTGTGGATTCCCCGGCTTACATCCAACGTTAGCATAACAACCGAGCTAACATTTGACTTTTTTGTATAGCTAGTTCGCATATGTGAAAATGGGCTATCTGAATAGTCTTATTGAGAGAACTAGAAAAGGAGTAGACACGTGTCTAACTATGAACAGAATGTCCATTATAAGCGTGGAGTATGTCCTACAATCCCAATGGAGCTAGCGGTGTAAATAACTATCTCGCTTATTAAAGGCAACTATACGAGACCCATGCATGGAAGAATGCTCGAGCGGCGGCTACCATCGTCAGCCACCGGCGTTCGGGGACGTTGGTCTCATGGCTACGAGAAGCGAAGGGGAAAGCAAGTATCGGTGGAAAAATTAGTCGGCTTCAGCCAGTCGATCTTTACGGATAAATGAGATTGGACAGGTAGTTCATCCATGCTCGGCAACAAGAGGCAAATATTCGATACTGCACATTGCCTTGATGTGGACTATAAACGGGGTTCCAAGACAAAGTCGCCACCTGTGGACTTGTATACAATCACATGTGGAATGCAAGAGGCTAGAGGTATCGACAAGGTTATTCTAATTTATGATCAAGTACTAAACACCTTTGATGCTCACCCCAAAATCAAAACCATTACGGGATAGAGATCAACAGAGGATGACAATCTAAATCAAACCATATTGCACCGTGCCTGTGCATAAACACCGTGCAATATAGCGCTAGCCCACCGGTGTCTAATTTCCGGTGCTCCGCTCTGTTAAATTGTAAATCCGACTCGACGTTAACACAGAGTAATAAGGCACCAGGGTGTGCACACGCCCAGTCGACTGGGACTCAATCAGAGAGGGAGAACAAAAAGCCACCTTGCCCCTTTCGTCACACAGCAGGATCAACACGAGCAATTTCCCTCAATAAGCATCAGCGAAGCCCGAAATGGATGAGGGATATAGAATTGGGAATAGTGTTGTGCTTCCCGTGAGCTTTGGCCATGCTCGTCTTCGTGTGCTTTGATCGCTTTTGCGGTGTAGGTGGCGCTCGGGGACTGTGGGTGCTGTAGGTACATGCATCGTGGAGAAAGCAGAGTGATGTTTTGAATCTGGATGTGGAATGGCATGAAATGAAGACGGGATATGCAGAATAGAGATTATTATTTTGTTGAAACGGTCAAGGTGTCGCCAACCACCCGGACAATTGCCTCACACTCCAACCTCTAGGTCCTTTCTAGGATTAGCTTGGTTTGGAATCGCATGCATCGGCGCCGGAAATGGCTGCAGAACGTGTTGTCTCGGATATTCAGGCCGAACTTCCATTGCGCGGGGCAAACTGTACAACCATGGTAGGAATGATTGGTAATTCTTGCACGCTCTACCCCTGTGCTATAGGATGACGAGTATCGCTCAGAATGCGGAATATAACGATTGATCAGCCTTCTTCCCGCTCTACATGCGACAGCGAGGGCATCTGCCCCAATCCACTCGGCTACATCTCCTGAGAAACGGGCTCATATACTAGTTCGAGGGAATAAGTAGACTATTGAACCCCGCGATTATATGTCTACCGTAGTTTAGCCCTCGATCGAGTGATCCCCCGCATCGTAAGTTGTGGGGCATAGCGTCTTATCTGGAGTCTGGTCCCTGGGCATCTCTGATTCCCCGGAGAGTTCTAATGGCATGTCATGACCTTGGAATGCAGATAATGTAAGTCGGCAAATTACCGATCGTACTTCAGGGTTACACGCAAGAAAAGAAATCAAGGACATAGGCCAAGACGATACAAGAGAAAGAAGGCTAATTAGGGGCCAGACCCCTATATGACGTCGAGTATACGGAGTCGCGCACAGATAATTTTATGCACGGACAGCGGATTTCATGAGGATTTCCTCCCGGAAAGAGCTTCATGCAGGACGCCTCCCGGAGCCTGGGAGTATTCTGTAGTATCATAGTAATATATAGTGTTACAGTATACTATATGGCATATAAGCCTATAACATCCCTATAACATGCCATATATATGTACAACAAGTCGGAGTGTACAAAGTACATCCAAGAAAGAGTAGAGTTCCATCCATGGATACACTTTTGCCTTTTCTTCAATTGACTGGGACGACATAAAACGGCAAAAGACGTCCTTGATACAACCCCTTATAATACAGCTTCCGGTATTAGGGCCCAGCAGTTCGGGCAGAAGTTATGAGCGAATCTACGATTGGAGGTAAAATGATCTATAGCCAGCACCGGAGTAAGATAGTCTGTCTGTAAAGATGCAGGCCTCGGAGCCGAGGGAGTCGAGTTGGAATAATAAAAATAAGGATCATCACACGGTTGGGCGACCATGGTCGGTCATTTACCTACTTGGCATTCTCACGATGGCTTCCAGTCTAGGCTCTTTGCCTACATACTCGCTGAAACCTGTCATGGTCCATGGGAATTAGGCTGTCCACGGAAGAGTCCTCGACGTAAGGACCCAAGCCCAGTGGCAAATCCGCCACTGGGAACAACTACATTTACAGGATATAATCTGTATATTCTATATTCTATATTCTGTCTATAAGATATGTATTATAGATGCACGGAATAGTAGGAGTACCAGATTAATCTGCAAACAGCGCGGAATTCCAGAGCTGATAGCCCCACTAGATATGGCTAAATCCTGAAATCTGATATATTCAATCCCCCCAAGTAGATCCATTGGCAGTTCGAGCGTATCCCTTTTTCCTTTTTCACACTTATTTTTTATAATCCGCCATTCGGTTCACCATTGACTTGGTAAACTTATCTTGTTTCTTGGCATCCCGATCATCGCTCTACCCTATTACCCAACCTCCCCCTTCAACTCTTCAACTCTCCTCTCGACTCTCGGTCTCTCTACACATCTTTTTCTCTTCTCTTTCTTTTTTTGTAATTCTTACAGCTGCTTGGCTGTCTTGCCTTTCCTTTCCACATTACCTTCGGATCTCTTATTCTTGATTGATTCCGATCTCGCTCCCCCCACCTCCACATCCCCCGAGAACTGGCCATCCGAATGAGCCAAACCCCGAATTATTTATAGCATCTGTTGTCAACGGCACTCCTTTTTTTTGACTCATTTCCCCACGTGTGGATGTGGGATCGTCCATACCCTCGTGCAGTAGCAGGTCTACCTCGTGTCCTTCCCCCCTAAGGCGACAACCCGCTGTCCGGTACACGGTTTCCGTTGCCTTGTCGCCATCCCTATCGACTTCACGAAAGTAATGCCGACCTGTTTGTGCGTGCAAACAGAGCTTTTTGTCAGCTCACCTTGAATCAATTATTCACGAGGGAAACCCCCGCAAAAAAAAAAGAGTCGAATTGGAGAATGTTCAATTAGGATGCACAACTGCACTCGGCACAGCTGCCTCAGCCCCCTCCCTTTGAAATAATACCACACAGGAAGGAAGAAGGGAATATGACAGAAAATAGATCCTCGCAAGCTGGTCTGGAGGATCCAGATCAGCTGGCTCGGAATCATGTCTCAAAAAATCACAAGCGAGATCTCAGCCGGTCCGACGAGTCATCGCAACTCCCATCTGCGTCGAACGACCAACTCGAGTATCGCCCCCAATCCAAATCATCCGCGGAACAACCATCTATCATCACCGATGTCTCGGAAGCTACCGCAACTTTCCGCCAGGCCTTCCCCGGCGTTGGTGGTGCTCGGGCCCCCTCGAATCGCTCGTCGTCGAGTTCCCTACAAGCCCTCAACGAAGGTATCGTGGTCGATGTCCGATCGGAAAATGGAAGCATTGGAAGGAGCACTCGACGAGCCTCGAGACACTCGGATAATCAATTACCAGTTTACCCCGATCAATCCTATGCCTCCCTCCAGTCTCAGGTGCATCCCACCTACCACCCTCACCTCGCCGAACCAGATCCGCTACCCAGACACTCCTATGCCCGTGGTGTTCGTACTGCGGGCAACACTCCGATATCGAGCCCCGGGCTCTTCTCCATGAGACACTCTCGCATGGGAACGCCATCCGCGTCGGACGATGACGTCTCGACGCGAAGCTCACTTCTCCATCCGTCACATCTTCAACCACCGAAGGAAACACACACCGCCGAAGTTGATCGCGACATAATCACGGGAAACAAAACCATCAATCAGTATGAAATCCTTGAAGAGCTCGGACGTGGTGAACATGGCAAAGTGAAACTAGGCCAGCATATTGCGACTAAGCAGAAAGTTG